CATCTTATTTTTACTTTGTTGTAAAATTACAAAAGCTTACAACACACGTGATTTGAACAGTCATATTGTAGAGAATTTAGCAATATGGCAATAACTTAATATCCAGTCTGCTGAGTATTGATATGTATAAGTTATTGATTTGTTTTTATTAACACATGAATCTAAGAATTCTTTATTTACTTCTCAAGGTGTTCTTTTATTATGGAATCAGAAGGGAGAGTGGAAAGATTCACCCAGGTGGGTCAAGATAAATTAGTGAAAACTGTGATAGAGCCCATGGCTTGTGATGGCTTACGAACTATTTGTATTGCTTACAAAGATTATGTAAACAGGAATCCAGAGGTTAATCAGATACAGTTTGATGCAGAACCATTATGGGATGATGAGGACAATATTATTTCCAACTTGACATGTCTCTGTTTGGTAGGAATTGAAGATCCTGTTCGTCCAGAGGTAGAGTTACTGCACTTTACTTTTCATCATAACATTATATAATTAACTCCAAACAATTGTTTACAACGTTAGATTTTTGACTTCTGGTAATTGGGAAAATGTAATCTTGCTGTAATACATGTCAGTGACTGGTACATTAAGGTTTTTATGGTAAATTTTTTATAAATGATTCTGTGATCTATCTTCTCCCAGACTTATTACACTTAACTATACAAAGTTTATTCTTAGTCATAATGTAAATCTTGACATGTTTTATTATTTAACACAATACACAATTTGAGATTTGTTTTATCATAGGTTCCTGATGCTATTAAAAAGTGTCAGCGATCAGGTATAACAGTAAGAATGGTAACTGGAGACAATGTGAACACAGCTCGTTCTATAGCCTTGAAATGCGGTATCATCAAATCTGAAGATGACTTTCTAGTACTTGAGGGGAAGGAATTTAACAGCAGGGTACGGGATAGTCATGGTGAGGTGTGTCCAAACGTTCATCCTAAATATGGATTATTTTAATGAATATATAACATCTGTACTAACTTATATTACTTAACTAGCTCTTAAATATGATACAGTATTATGTTGGGTAACATTCATGACTATATTGGTAATGATAAGTCTAAAGGAAAGATTCCATCATTTTCAGAGCATAACAATAATACCTATAGTTAATACTGCATAAAGATTCTCTGTAAAGCAGCTTGAAAACTTTTAAGATTGGCTAGTTTCCTTTGCTCAGTATTCTGTATGAAATAAAACTGCTTAAAGTTTCATTTCAGTATTGAATTGTGCTATTATATCAATGCAAGTATGTTTTATTTATTTTAACAAACTATATCTACTTGCTTTGCTATTTGTTAAATAAATTGGTTTGAGTACTTTTTTTACCCTTAGATTCAGCAACATTTGATTGACCAGATATGGCCTCAACTCCGGGTTCTAGCTAGATCTTCTCCTCAAGATAAGTTCACACTTGTTAAAGGAATCATTGATAGTAAACTGAGTGCCAATCGAGAGGTAGTGGCAGTTACAGGAGATGGCACAAATGATGGCCCTGCTCTGAAAAAAGCTGATGTGGGTTTTGCTATGGTATGTCAAATATTGTCATATGAAAATACTTATACTAATAAGTAAAATTTAGAACTACTAAGCTTACAAGTGACATTATTTCCAACTTTATATCAATACTTGCTACATTTGTATGTCTTGTGAGTTGATGTTATCATACCTGATCTATTAAGATATACTAAAATTAACATTTATGCAAGTACTTTGAAATTTCATAGGGAATTGCTGGAACTGATGTTGCAAAAGAAGCATCTGACATCATTCTCACTGATGACAACTTCACAAGTATTGTCAAAGCTGTGATGTGGGGACGTAATGTGTATGATAGTATTGCTAAGTTCTTACAGTTTCAACTAACAGTTAATGTTGTTGCTGTGATTGTTGCCTTTGTTGGAGCATGTGTTATTGAGGTTAGTGCATTTACTCAACTGTATCTTCATAATACCATATTTTCTGTAGGCACATTCATATGATTACAATTTCTTGACATTTTGGTGAAAGTAGATGCTTTCGCATTACCTTAAAGATTTTATTTAGCATTGGAACTTGTTACAGATTACTTTAATTAAGCTAGAAACAATTAATGTACAGACTTCAGCAGCTTTGAACTAAAGTTTTTTTTGTTGCATTTTTGAAGAAATTTTGCTTGGAAAGTTGTTTTGGGGCAGAACTTAAAACAAGCTTAAATATATATGCATGCTAGATCTTCTTACCAAAATAAGTTCACTCTTGTTAACCCTTTCGAGATGGGTCACGGGTGAAAGGCCATGTCATCTTGTTTGTTGACTCGCATTCAAAATTATATTGAACTACTATTTCATGAATTTATGTCAATAAGTTCGGTATCAAACTGTAGATTATAATTCAAATTTTAGTGCTATATATTACTGAATTTCTTAATTTAAAGCAAATATCAAAAAACACAGATAAACATCAATTTTTGTGTGTCACGTGGTATGTTGAATGCAGCACTGGTTCAAATTAGATGTTTGTGTAGTCAAAATACTAAGTCTATAGTTTCATATGAATTAGAAACTCAAATTACAGATATTGACAAGGTAGAATATAAAATAAGAGCTACTTCAAAATTTGCTAAGATATTGCTAATGTAATCACTCAAACACAGTGGCACCCTGCCCACATCTTTCCA